AAGGAGTGTTCAGCTCTGGGAGCTGGTGGTCGGTAAGGTTGCGCAGGCTCCGTTGCAGCCCCAGTCCGAAAGGACTGCCGGTGACTGTATGGAACAAACCGTCTGGTAGTTCTCTTCGCCACATGAGAAATCACTTTTTGTTTCTGTTTGTTCTCAACGAGATATGGCGTTAAAGCCTCCCCAAATAATTTGCCGCCCGTGAAGGGGGCCGTGGCCGCATGCCACTTATGTTTACTTTTGGCCCTCCAATTTTTCAGCCACAACAACCTCCTAGCGACTACGCTGGAGGGCATTGACCGGGCTGAATGTTTCGCCGAATACAGGGAGACATCCGCCATATACTCGGATGTGGCTAGTAATTTGGCCAGATCCTGATGGATCCTGATTTCTTCCAATAGAATTCTATCCTGCAACTGACGAAGCCAGGTAATAGAAATCCTTGCAAAGAAGAAGTGGCTGTAGCTGCCTTAGCCACCCAGGCAGATGCCAAATGAGCCTTGCACAAGGCATTTTGGATTTCTTATCCTCTGTCTTAAGGGCGTCCGATACATCTGCCGGGAGGCTGGTGGTTGAAAATAAAGGGGCCAGAGATTCATCTACCTTTGGAACTTCTAATAAGTCCACTAAGGTCTTTGGCATGTCTACTATTTTGCGCTCAGCCGCGCCCTGAGTAGGTTGAGCAGCTGGTGACTCCCACTGTCCCTGAATATTTTTAAGGAATAACGGGGGACAGGGAATTTGGAGGTGTTTGTCTACTGGCTCAGCAAACAGGGGATTAGATACCTGATCAGAGGAAGGTTGAGGAGTTGAGACCAGGTGTGAGGAAAGCTTACTAGCCTCATAGGCTCTGCGCAGTAATTCAGGAAAAAGTGAAGAATTAAACAGCTCTGACATAGATTGAGATTCGTAAGTGGGTTCCTCACAATCCGACCAACCGTCCTTACCTTCCTCATAATCTGAAACCTCAGAGTCGGAAACATGAGAAAGGGATGGGGAAACCATACCTGACCGATCTAGGGAAGGACATTTGGCAGTTGTTGGTGCAGAGGAAGAAGAAGGTCCCGGAATGGGAGACGCCTTCTGGTGTCCCATTGACGCTATGGCTTGGGACACGGCCTACGTTATCCACGCTTTAAGCTGTTCAGAGAAAGGTTGCTCTAGCGGAGGCCCTGACCCCGCAGCAGGTGGTGCAACATCAGCAGCGGGAGCTGTCGATGTACCTGGCAAATCAAGGTCCTCCCCAAACAGGGGTGGTCCTACCTGACCAAGGGTCTGAGTCGAGACCTGTTGATGCACGACCAAGCTCTGGATGTGGACAGTTGAGGCGCTCCCATTTCAGGTGGTGTTGAGGCCGACAATGCAACACCCTTCTCAGCAGCCAAGCATTGGGCTCGTGAGAATTGCTTCTCCAGAGCTTTGTGTGCACAGTCGGCCTGTCTGTCGCTTGCCCTGCCAACCCTCCTGCCATATTTAGATTTGGATTTGGCCTTACCTGAAGGTGCCTCAGGTGCCGGCTCAGTTTGGACAGGAGTGATGCCTGCTTCCAGAGGAGTTGGTTCAGTGGTTTCTGCCATTTCCATCGAGATGCAACCCAAAGATAACTTTGAGATTGACTCAGTCTTCAAGGGACGTCAGAGGCCCCCGTGAAGAGGGAACTGACTTCACGTGTATTGGCATGAGTCGGCCCACTGGCTAACCTGAACCCACGCCTTGTGTAGAAGCGCTTGTCAATCCACAATGGTTGAGGTGAATCACACGTGTCCCACAATAGTGGCAATGGTCAGGAACTTGGAACAGCCACTAGATGCAGAGGGGCAGACAGGCAATAGCGACCAGGCCTGAAGTACCATTGCTGCTGTTAATTCCACCTTTCTGTCCTCAATCCTAAAATAAATTCTGAAACACCAAGGCTCAAGGCAAATTAGTAACAATGATAACAATGTGGAACTTTGGTAAATGTTAAACTCTACTAAATGATAGCCACCAAATGGCGTCCTAGCCTGGGTGAAAATGGGTGTTTTCCTCAGGAAAAAGGTCCCCAAAATGGTGGATGCTCTGAGTGGGGAGGGACTGGGGAGGGGGGGAAGGTTGGAGTCTGAAGGTAGAGGAGGTTATCAGAGCCTCATAAAACAGTCCAGATGTTTCCAAAGACCCAATGGTTGAATTCGAGCCTTTGCTGCAATTTCAGGGAACGAAATTTGAAAAAAATGCACCTAACAGGTGTTAGGCGCAAAGAAAACGCTTGTCGCTGCACCACGAGGCAGCTCCGCTTCAGTGGTAGCCACAAACAAGCCAAACAGCAAAGAAACACCAATAAACAAATTCCCCCCATCGCTGTCCTAGCAAACTCACAAAATCATTGTAGTGAAATAACTTTGTCATCTAAAGGGGAGTTCCGCGATCCAAAATGGCGGCCGCCACTAAGATCCCTGACCAGGCCTGGTCATAAAAGAAGCCATGAGGCTTCAAAATGGCGGCCATCAGATGACAATCCCAAAAACGCGAGCTAGTGAGGGAGATAAGAAAGGGATCCCCCTAAAGCGCCCCGAAGGGAAACACTGCCTAGCTCTATCAGGAGTCCCAGTGATAGCTTAGTAAAACGCTAAAACAGGGAAGGGAAAAAGATGCCCCCCCAGTCCTGGAGAGGAGTCCTACTTGAACCCAGAAAGTAAGGGAGTAGAATAAGAATCCCCAGAAGGGAAATACTCTGTACTAGTTCCCCAAATTTTGAGAATCCACCAATGAGTTTGTAAATCTACCTGACCTGCTCCGAAGTACCGAGAATCAAGATATCATGTCCTCATGGGCAAAAGACCAAAATGAAACTGGAAGCCCCAGATAATGAGGAGGCGTGACAACTTGACAAATTGGTCTGATTGGGCAGGAGGACTTAAATAACCCATTGGTGGATTCTTCAGTCATCATGCTGGAGAATTAGAATTATTCATTGATGATTCCTCTTACTTACAAGAAGGAAAGTGAGTAACGGGAGCAGCCGTCGTTTCCTTACATGAAATGGTTTGGGCTTCCGCGCTGCTGCCACGCCACAGCACATAAGCTGCTAATCGCATTGAGAAAAGCATGTGAAATGGCAGAGAACCGGTCTAAAAACTATCTGACCAATCTGGACTAATTGAACAAGATATTTAACATTTAAAAGAACTAGCACAGAACATTGGACATAACCAATCATCCTGGGACCTCTCCTAGCTCTTCTCGTGGTTACCAGACTTTCATTGGTTGAAAATTCTCATCACTAGCATAATCACAGTCATAGTAGGTGGAGTCCTCCTTTGCTGCCTATGCCAATTAATTCCTTTAGGCTTGAGATGCCTAAAGATCTGCACAAAACCCATCAGAGGCAAAGAACAGAGTAAGAAAACCTCTCTCATGATGTGCCAAATTGACCACCACTACCGAGTATATGAACCAGTTAGGCTAAATAAAAAAACCCTTAACACACACTGGCTACAAAGTATCAAGTCTAAACCACAGGAATGCAGAACCGGCTAACAGCAATTAGGATTGACAGGATTAAAATTGTTGTTGTTAATTGCGAAGTCGTGTCTGACCCATCGTGACCCATGGATAACGTTCCTCCAGGTCTTCCTGTCCTCTATCATCTTCTGGAGTCCATTTAAGTTCACGCCTACTGCTTCCGTGACTCCATCCAGCCACCTCATTCTCTGTCGTCCCATTCTTCTATTGCCTTCAATCTTTCCCAGCATTAGGCCCTTCTCCAGTGAGTCCTTCCTTCTCATTAGGTGGCCAAAGTATTTGAGTTTCAACTTCAGGATCTGGCCTTCTAAAGAGCAGTTGGGGTTGATCTCTTCTAGGACTGACCGGTTTGAATGCCTTGCAGTCCAAGAGACTTGCAGAAGTCTTCTCCAGCACCATAGTTCAAAGGCCTCAATTCTTTGTCGCTCAGCCTTTCTTATGGTCCATCTTTCACATCCATACATTGCAACTGGGAAAACCATGGCCTTGACTGTATGCACTTTTGTTGGCAGGGTGATGTCTCTGCTTTTTAGTATGCTGTCTAGATTTGCCATAGTTTTCCTCCCCAGGAGCAAGTCTTTTAATTTCTTGGCTGCAGTCCCCATCTGAGGTGATCTTGGAGCCCAGGAAAATAAAATCTGTCACTACCTCCATTTCTTCCCCATCTATTTGCCAAGAATTGAGAGGGCTGGATGCCATGATTTTGGTTTTCTTAATGTTGAGTTTCAAGCCAACTTTTGCACTCTCCTTCTTCAAGGATTAAAATAGAAACACTAAAAGGTACATAATAATAAAATAAACCACACCGGATCCCTCCTGGAGCAAAGATTAACATTTTCCTAGACAGAATTGATAAAGAAATTAATCCATCAATAGACACTGAACAACGAATCAGAAAAGACAATTTTAAATTCGTGAATCAGAAATGACAGTTTTGAAAACCATAAAAGGGTATAAGAACTCACATTTGGGGACCATTCTGTCTAGCTAGCTGAGGATTCATGCTGAATTGTCACTCAATTTTAATCTCCATGATTAAACCTCTCTTTCCGGTAGCTGGCTTCACATTCTATTTGTTTTTGCGAAAATCCCAGCTGGAAGAGCCTGAACAGGGGAGTTCCTTCCAACAATAGTAAATTTGAATTTTTTAAAAAATCCAGCTTTGTATCCATCTTATCCAAACTGATCTGTATATTTTTAACATCTTCTTTGATTTGTTTCAACTGTGTTAATAATTCAAACTTTTTATCAGATTTTTCATTCATCTCTTATAGGATGTCAACTAAGATAGAAAACTTTTTCTCACCTGACACTTTTACTTCTCTCTTAGGAGGCATTTTACAAATGTATACAATTCTTCTCTTACAGCCAGTTGCTTGGAGTAGAGAAGCAAACAAGAATCACAGTTCTTTTTTCAAGGTCAGAGGGAAAATTCCAAGAACAAAGCAGCTGGCAAGGAGAATAATGTTGATATGCAAACTCCCAACATGCAGAGAAAAAAAGGGGGGATTTCTAAACTTTTAGCATAGAAAGCTGAGAGTTATATACAAAATGTAATAAAAATAAAATGAAGATATAAAATCTTGTTGAGTTGATAATATGTACAGTCTTTTGGTAAAAGTTCAATATGATTAGATCATTTAAGTTCAATATGATTAGATCATCTCTCATTAGTCTTAGAAGACTTGTTGCCGTTTGCTTCTTCCATACAGAAAGATAAGTGATTTCCACTCATACCTCCAGTACTATAAAATCAACTAGAGTCCATGACGGGGAAAGTATCAAAATTCCAGCACACAGCCAGCAATTAACATGCAGAAAGAAAAGAAAAAAGAAAAAGCTTTAAAAAAAATAGGGTTAAAAACAGAGGCATTCTTCAAGAACAAAGACTGGGTGGACAGGATGTGAGCCCCTCCTTTGGCTGAGCTTACCAGGGAGATGAAATCCTCTGAATCTCACTTCCCTCAGCAAGACAAGTACCATCCAAGGAGTTTCAGATTGATTCTGTATTCCTCCTTTTCTAATCCAGGACTGAGTAAGCTACAGAGACCAGTTCCTAGCCACTAAACCAGCCATTTCTCTAGCAGAGCAAAAAAAAAAAAAGCACTGCTAGTTCAGAACATCATTTTCTCCGCAGAGCAAGAAGAGAAACGTTTTCAAGAAAAAAACTGAAGAAAGTCCAGTTGCTTTTTGAAAAGCACTTTTGAGACCAGGGGGGAAAGAGCTAAAAATAGATATCAAGAAATATATCTTTACACATATAACAAAAGATTTAAGTGATAATTTCCTATAGACAAGTTAATGCTAAGATAGAAAAATGAGGGTTAGATAGCATCATCACCAGATGGATTATAACTGGTTGATCAATCACACTCAACATGTAATCCTTAGTGGAACTGCATCTACATCAGCATCTCAGCCTGTGGGTCGCGACCCCATTTGGGGTCGAACGACCATTTCACGGGGGTCACCAAACAAGGCTGTCCACCATTTTTTCCCCTTTTCCTTAGCAGTGCTACTCCCTCTTATTTTATTGGCTTTTGAAAGCCAATAGAATAGACTCTATTCAAGAGACTCTAGTCTATTGGCGTTCGAAAGCCAATAGAATCTATTGAATAGAATCTTGAATAGAGTCTAATTCTATTGGCTTTCAAAAGCCAATAGGAATTGTCCAGGCTGTCTCTGCCCTGCTGAGCCTGCCAAAAGTCCCAGTCTGCAAACGGTGCTGCAAGTTGTCTGCAGCTAAGGCGAGCTTTCTGGACATTTCCAACCCTCCCTGCTGAGCAACTACTAAATGTAAGTAAAAGAGGGCCAGGGGTGGGAGGCCGGCGGGCGCAGGGAGGGTTGCTGGCGCACGTGGGGCCCGGCGGGTGCCTTACCTCCCTTGGGCTGGGCCAGCTGGTGGCCCAGCCGGTGGTCGGCCTGCGTCGTCGCTGCCACTTGCCAGCTGTGCCCAGGAGCGCCTGGGCCTGCCTGCCGCCACACCGAACATGCAGTGCCAAGGTAAGGCTAGCGGAGCAGTGGCGGGCACAGGGAGGGTTGCTGGCATGCATGGGGCCCAGCAGGTGCCTGCGCCATCACTGCCGCTTGCCAGCTATGCCTCGGCCGGCACAGGGGGCGGCACCACGCATGCGCGGTGCTCCCAGGCCGAGGCAGTTGCTGGGCGACGGCCTGTGTGCACCCTCCTCCTGCCCCACCCACAGGGAAATACAAGTAATCCTCAACTTACGACCACATGGTTGGGGGTCACGGCATTAGGAAGGTTGAGAACCACTGATCTACATGGAGGGAAGTATACAGTGGGCTCTGTCTTAGGCCCAGTACTCTTCAATAGAGGGGGAACTCATCAAATTTGCAGATGACACCAAGCTCGCAGGAATACCAATAGTCAGAAAATAGGCTGAAGATATAGAAGGATCTTGACAGACATGAACACTGGGCTCTATCTAACAAAATTAAATTCATTGTAGAGAAAAGTAAGGTTTTCTAAATGGGGAAGAAAATGCACAAGTATAGAACAGGTGGACCTGGCTCAACAATAGTAACTACAAGAGGGATCTTGGAGTCCTAGTGGACAATCACTTAAATATGAGTGCCAAAACAGCCAATACAAACTTGGCTTATTAATAGAAGGATAAAATTAAGAGCATGTAGAGTATTAATACCAATTTATAATGCCTTGGTAAGACCACACTTCGAATATGGCATCCAGTTTTAATCACCACAATATTAAAAAGATGTTGAGACTCTAGAAAGAGTGCAGAGAAGAGCAGCAAAGATTATTACAGGACTGGAGGGTAAAACATACGAAGTGTAAGGACTTTGCATCTTAAGAAGACAGAACTCTTGGAATAGTTCTTCCAACAGGCATCCTTTATTAAGAGAAAAACAGGCATTCTAGACAGGACTTGGGGTCTACGTTTTCCCACTCAAGGTTTTAAGGGGTTCCCCAGTAGCCCCACCCAATCAGCCCCTTCTTCCAACGACAGTCTCAGGCATTACACTCCCACCCCCTTTTCCTTACTGCCGGCTGGATGGAGATTTCAGAAAGGAGTATATGAAAGGTAATAGCCCCATTGTTATGGTTAGTCCTTTTGGAGATATCCACATCCAGTCCCTTTGAAGTGTACTGAAGGAAGTGAGGGCCATAAAGCCCCTTTGTTCACCCCCTTCCCTTCATCATATGACAGAATCAGAGAAGGCAGAAATGGGGTTTCTATAGTTGATGATGAAATATAATTGGATTCTGACATCCTGCCCCCTTAAAAATAAGACAGATCCAACTGAAAGAAAACAAAACAGGTATAAAAGTTAGTTAGGCTTGTTAGGATACTCTGTGTGAAACTTCTTTAATAGCTTTGGGGCTCTGACATGACATTTATGAACCCACTTGTTTTGTGAGGCAGGGAGGTGTTTCCAGGTAACTAGGTACTGAGTCGCTGCATGATATCTTCTAGAGTCAAGGATTTCCTTTATTTCGAAATGTTATTTGCCCTCCACCATGATTGGAGGTGGTGGTGGGGATTTTTGGCCGTAAAGTTGACTGACACTCTCTTTTCAGTAAGCTGCAATGAAAAATTGGGTGTATTTGCCTGACATTTTTTCGTAATTCTAATTCTACTGTTACTGGGTTTATGATTCTTTTAATTGGAAAAGGCTCTATATATTTTGGTCCAAGTTTTTTAGAGGGCTGTAGGGACTTTAGGTACACCATTTCTCCTATAATGAAAGGTGTAGGCTCAACCCTTTTTTTATTGGCTTGTGCTTTGTATGCCTGCCTAGCTTCATCTAGTGCTTTTCTAAATATTGGCCAGGTGTTTTGTAATTGTTCCATCCATTCTTTCAGTGATGGGATCATTGGTTTGTTTGGGGTTAATTCTGGCATGGGGTTGAAACTTTGACTGGTGGCTATTTGAAAAGGAGTGTAACCTGTGCTGGAGTGGACTGCATTATTTTAGGCAACTCCTGCAAAAGGGACTAAGTCCGTCCAATTGTTCTGCTGAAAATTAAGAAAACATCTCAAATATTGTTCAAGTACTGAGTTCATTTTTTCAGCCCCCCCCCATTCCCTTGTGGATGATGGCTAGATGTCAGTCTCTGAGTGGTTCCTAAAAGGGATAAGAATTCCTTCCAAAATGCAGACGTAAATTGCACTCCCCTATCAGAGATGATGCGTTGGGGCGCCCCATGCAATCTGTAAATGTGCTGGATGAAAAGTTTCGATAAGGCTTTTGCGGTGGTAATCTTTTGGCAAGGGATAAAGTGCACCTGTTTGGAAAACAAGTCTGTGACTGTCCAGACAACAGTATTCCCATTGCTTTCTGGCAATTCCACTATAAAATCCATGGCTATTTCCCTCTGGGGGGCTGAGGAATTTGCTACTGTTTGTAATAGTCCTGGTGATTTCCCTTGCAACCTCTTTGCAGTTGCACATTTTGTGCAGCTGGCCACGGAGCTTTCTATGTCCTTTTTTATGGATGGCCACCAACATTGCCGTTTAATTAAGTGTAAAGTTTTTACAAATCCAAAATGCCCTGCTGATTTTGTGTCATGGCAAAGCTGCATGAATGTGACTCTTTGCGTTGTTGGTATATACATCTTTTCCCCTACCCAGGGCAACCCGTCTCTCATTGTGCGCACATTTTTTTTTTCTGGAATCATTCATCTGTTTCCAAACTTTTTCTGAATTCAATTCCAGTTTGGCTGTCCAGTTGTGGTTTTAATTTAGCTTGGGGTCTTGTGGTTACTGGTGCTGCCAGTTGTGACTCTGCCATCATTGGTTTAGAGTCTGTGGCTCGCGCGCTGTTATATTGGGGCATGTGAGTGCATCTGCCAGGAAGTTCTTTCTCCCTGGTAAATGTTTGAGCTTAAATTGGAACTGGTGAAAATGTTGGGGCCAGTGGGCTTGTTTGGGATTGAGCTTCCTGGGCGCTTTCAGGCCTTCCAAATTTTTGTGATCAGTCCACACCTGGAAGGGGATTTTGTTGCCTTCAAGGTACTGTTGCCACGTGAATAATGCCCAATGTATCCCGTATGCCTCTTTCTCCCATACGGGCCAGCACTGTTCTGTTTCCGTGAGTTTCTTGGATGTATATGCACAGGGTTGCAATACCCCATCATCGTTTTCTTGTAATAGAACAGCCTCCACTGCCACATCACTTGCATCCGCCTGTATTATGAAGGGCTTATCCATGTCTGGGTTCCTTAGTACTGGTTTGGCAGAAAAAAGTCTCTTTAATCTCTCAAACGCTGCTTGGCACTCCATTGTCCATGTTAGTGTCTGGCTAGGTTTTACTAAGGATGCTCCCTTCATTTTTAGTAAGTTAGTGAAGGGCAAGGCTATCTGGGCAAATGAGGGGATGAATTGGCGGTAAAAGTTTGCAAAGCCCAGGAAACTTTGTAGCTGCTTTCTCGTGTGGGATGGTGCCCAATCTAATACTGCTCTGACCTTCTCTGGGTCCATTTCAATGCCCTGGGAGGATATGTGATAACCTAGGTAGTCTATCCTTTCCTGGTGGAATTCGCATTTTGAGAGTTTGGCATATAGGTGGGCGGCTCGCAGTTTCTTTAAAATTCCTCTGACTAGGTTGACCTGTTCCTCTTTTGTTTCGGTGAAGATAAGAATGTCGTCCAAGTAAACAAGGACCCCCTTAAACAGGTGCTCCCTTAGAACGTCATTGATTAATTGCATAAAGACTGCAGGGCCCCCTTGTAATCCAAATGGCAAGACTTTGAATTCATAGCACCCCATGGGGCA